CTCAGAGAGAAGTTGTTTGGGGCGGGAGCCGAGGCGGAGCATGTGCTGCAGTGAGCAGGAATCCCTCCCTCACCTAGTAGGAACCATAAATATCTCCCTGTCTATGGCTGGGAATATATATATTAAAAACATGCTGTCAGTTGGGAGTTCATGTGTGATTCTGGGCTCCTTCTGGCTGCTGGAGCTTCCCCTCTTAGAGCTCTGATGAAGAGGCAGAGGCCTCTTCGAAGCACACACGTGTGCACACGCACACACTTGTGCAAACAGGCAGGACTGGGAGAGGAAAGGGGGCCAAAGAGAGGGAAAGCGAAGGAGAAGGAAGGACAGAGAAAGGGGCACAGAGCCAAGACAGAGCAAAATGAGACCAGAAATAGGATTCCAGAGGGAAAGGCGAGGAGCTGAAGAAAGGAACTCGGGGACTTTAATAAGAACTGAGCAGAGGTAGAGAATGCGCAGAGCTGGGGGCGAGGAGAACGGCATTTCAGGGCCTTCAGGGCCGTCCCAGGAGACACAGAACCCTGAGGAAGAGAGGGTCCCATACTGCCAACCTCTGGCTGAGCCTGGCCTAGGTCTGGGTGCTGCACGAGGCCTCAAGTCTACAAGCGCTGACCGGGGGGGTGGGGGTGACCGAAGCCATGAGGGGATGGAGGGAGAGCAGCCTGGGACCTGAGAGCCAGTCCCATTTCAGAGCCTTGCTCTGCGGAGTCCACTTGGTCCCACACCTAGGAAGAGTCCAGATTCGTCACCCGCCCCCACGCAGTCCTGCCTTCTGCCCTGAGGTGTGGACCGCACGAGTACCCCAGTCCCAAGAGGAAGACGGGCAGCAGAACATGCGCTCACACACGTGTGACATGAGCCAGCCTGAACACACCCCTCGCCACCCTGGTAGCATCAAGGACAAGTGGCAACCTCCAAAATTCTCTCCATCCCCTAAACCTGGACCAGGCAGAGGCCTGATGCCTGCACGTCCAGGCAGCCGTCCTCAGACAGTGGCTGGACTTGGTTTTGAGGAAGCTGCACTTGACGGGCTGAGTGGAAAGCAGCTTAGCGCACAGGAGGCACTGTCCGGCCCTGGGCACCCAGGTGCAGGAACGTGTCATCTCAGGACTGAACGGAGGCAGCAGTGCCTCTGGCCCCTCCGGCCCCTCTCCAGTCCCTCCAGGAAGTCATGGCAGCCTTTGTCCCTGAAGAGAGTGGTAGGCCTCGGGGCTGGGGTTCAGTCAGGGTGGCCCCGAGCTGGGAGTGGGTGGTGAGGGTCCCTACGGCTCGGTCTACCAGGCTGGAGAGAAAGCCAAGGCCGGAAATGTTGCCAGGGGACGTGGCCCTTGAAGGCTGGGGAAGCCGAGCGACAGCCTCGGGGGCGTGGGCCGGGCGGGAGAGGATAAAGGATGGAGCCGGGCACCTGCCCGCCTGGTGCCAGCCAACATTTTCTCTGCCCGTCCACCGGCCCACAGGCCACCAGCTGGCCCATTGTCCCCAGTGAGAAAGCAGACACTGGAGGGGGGCTCCCGTGTGGCAGGAGCTCACTCATGCACGCCCGCCTGGTAGGGACTGCCAGGGGAGAGCCCCCACGTGCTGGGCTGGGGCGCGGGGAGAAGGGGGGTGGCCAGGGGAGGCGCCCTCCAGGCGCAGCAGTCAGAGCTCCTCCTGTGCTGTTGGCAGGGGGCAGTGCTCAGGGCCTGCGAACAGGAGATAAAGAGTTCAGGCAGAGGGTTTTCTCTCACTAACCGTGGATTTGTGTGTTTGTTCAGCTGGTGGCTCTGATAAGCCCCATTCTGTAAGATAGAAGCCAAGCAACCATGAGGCGGGGCCTGGGGAGGGGTGTCATAGAGGGGCCTGCCTTTCTGTGTCCCAAGGCCTGGGGCTACTCCCTCCCTTCCCCAGGGAGCCTGGACAGGGAAGGGGGTCAGGCACTGGGGTGTCAGGCTCCCCGGGGTGCCAGCCTGGGGCCGAGCTACTGGTCCCTGTCCAGAGCAGGCCCCAGCCGGAGGGCACAGCTCGCAGGGTGCCCATGGCTTCAGGAAGCTGGCCTGGCGGGCTCTTACCTCTGGGTTGGGGGGCATCTCCTGGTCCTCCCCGGGAGCCTGTCCAGCACGGGCCCAGCGGCCTATCTGCCCCCTCCCCTGTCTGCCCAGGGTGTACCTCCAAGCTGACCGGCGGGCAAGGGCCTGCCCCCAGCACACCCCTTACTGTCCTCAGGCCCCGTCACCTCTCTGGGGCAGGGGTCTCCTGGGTAAACAGCTGAAGCTCTGGGTCTGGGGGTGGCCTGAGGATGCGGGGCTCAGCCACGCGGCGTGGCTCACCAGCGAGCCCTCAGCCTCGTCCCTCTGACCTCCTCGCGCCATGCTGGCCAGGAGGGGGAAGGGGCGCCGCCTGAGCAGGACGGCGGAGCCCCGGCCCCAGCTGCCCGGCCGGCCGGGCCGGCGCTCCTGCCCGCCAGCCCGGGCGCAGATTTCCAGCGTCTCTGCCTTTTGTCCCGGAGCCGCGCCGAGCGCCCCGGGGCGGGCGGCGGTGGCCCGGCCGGGCCGCCAGCTGTAAGATGGCTGCCAAGGGCTAAGATGGCTGCCAGCAGCGCCCGGAGCAGCGCCTGCAGGCGCGTGGCAGCGGGCCTCGCCCGCCGGAGCCCGCTCCTGCCTCTCCCTTGCATGGGGCTAATAGTGATCACAGCAGTCACGTCTCAGGGCAGTGTCCTGCTTCAGAAGGATTTCCTGTCTGCCGCGCTCTCCTGCAGCCCCATTTGTCTCTGCCTCTCGCGCTGGCCCACCTCCATCTCTTTGTCGGGTTCTCCCGTCTTTCTGTCCCTGGGCTGGGTGTGCGCGTGCGCGCGGCGTTCTGTCCCCACCTGGCCACGTCTGAAGGGCTGAGACCACTCTTAATAGGATGGCCTCCTACCATCCCCTCCTACACCACTGTCCCTGGCCTGGAGGGCTCTGTGGGGACTGAGCTGGTCCAGGGACAAGTGGGCCAAGCCTTTGCAGCAAAGCCTTGACCGGGTGCGGCTCGCTGGGCTCCACACGCAGGTCCTGCAGCTGTGCGCTTTCTGAGCTGTGAATCTGGGCAAGGACGGCCCTGAGAGACATTAGGCTCGGGGCACTGTTCCACGGAGGCCCTACGGTGGGCCGCCTACTGCCTCAACCCCTTGCCTGCTCCCTCCTCAACCCCTTGCCTGCTCCCTCCTGGGGCTTGAATCAGACCCAGAGAGTCGGGAATGGGCTGAGGAGAGAGCGACAAGAAAATTCAGGTGCAGAGAGAGATTGCCCTCCCCCGGGGGCATGGGAGGAAGTCTTTCCAGAGCAGAGTGCCACGGGACAAAGAAGTGGCCTGGGGTGGAATTTGCCATCCCTAAAACCACTGCTCGGGTGGGTGCAAAGGGAGGTGTGGGAGGACACACCCCAAACGCAAGGGGGCAGGCGGGGGGGGGGGGTCCTGTTAGCGTGATTTGTGACAGGATTCATTATTATTATCATTTGGAATTTTTAAAAAGTAGAGGATGGCTAAAAAGGTACTTCCCTGATGGTCCAGTGGTTGAGTCCACCTTCCCAATGCAGGGGATGCGGGTTGGAACCCCGGCTGGGGAACTAAGATCCCACATGATGCCAGGAAACTAAGTCCATATGCTGCAACAAAGGTTCTGTGTGCCGCAACCAAGACCCAACACAGCCAAATAAATGTTAAAAAAAAAAAAAATTTTTTTTTTTAAGTGAAACAAGATAAAAGATGGAGGAAGTGGGGCCTGAAACTGTCCTGGGGCAGCCTGTCTTTTTCCCACTGGCCACATGGATGCAAGAGGCCAGGAACTTGGCTGAGTCATCGTGGGGCCTTAGCTCTGAGAAGGCTACTGTTCTGCTCACGAGCCCCAACACCTGGAGCTCTTCCTTCTTTCCCAAGTGGCTGCAGGATTCCCCCACTTCTATCTCTTGGGCCCACGTCACTCTTCAGGAACCTCCTTGCTATTCACTCCCCAGTGTGAGCGGTTTGACCGCAAGGTTGGTAGATGGCCTCCGTGGCGAGCGGGCCAGCTGTAGGGTGGCGGGTGAGACCCGGGAGGCAGGGTCACTCCAGAGAGCGGAGTGAAGCCCAGGCCAATGCCAGGGCCCAGTTTTCTGAGGCCACCCCATTGGCCCCCCCACAAGCAGCTGATTCTTTACTGAATGTCTGCCTTTCTCCTGCCCCACAAGCTGCCCTGGCCCCCTCCGCCACCCTCTCGCCAGCTGTCGTGCCCGGGCAAGCGTTCTGGAGGTCCCCGTTGTGCCCCTGGCACACAAAGCTTTGAGGACCTGGGGGGCAGGGGCGGGGGGCTTTCCCAAGCTCAGCAAAATATTCACACACACACTCCACCCTGCCCCCAGCCCTCTGTGAGCTCCCACCGCACAATGGGCCCTTGTCTCAGGGCTCCCTCCGAGCAGCTGTGGCACTGGGGCATGAGACAGCCCAGACAGGCTGGCACAGAGCGGGCGACAGCATCAAGGCAAATCTCCCCCCTCCGTGTTGCCAGGCGCTGCCTGTATGCATAAAGGTGAGGTGGGGGTGGCGCAGGCAGGCAGGATTGGCTCTAATTAATGAAGGGAGGGAAAGGGCTGCTCCCTCTGGAGCTTGAGTGGGGTAGAGAACGGGGGACCCCTGGGTCCAACCCAGCTGTGCAAAGGGGCAGTCGGGGGCTTCCCTCCTGGGCGCCTCCTTGCCCTGAGTCTCGGCCAGGGCTCACTCGTGGGCAGCTCACCCCGGGCACTTCAGGCAGTGTTTGGAGACTGGGTTTTGGTTGTCACAACTGGGGTGCTCCTGGCATCTACTGGGAGGAGGCCAGAGACGCTGCCCAGCACCCTGCAGCCTGCAGGGCGGCCTCGCCACAGCAGCAGCCTTTCTTTCTCTCCTGGGCTCCCTGGGATGCTCAGGAAAGGACGGGGAGAGAAGGTGTCCACAGGGCTGGAGGGGCAGCTGCCTGCCTGCTGAGCATGGGGCACTTGGTCTTGACCCATCCCCACCCTTTGTGTCTCCTGCAGAATCCGGACAATCAGATAGTTCAAACCAGCAAGGAGATGCGGACATCAAACCACTGCCCAACGGTCAGTGCCCCCTGCCCTCCTGCCTGAACCCAGCCTCCCTGGCATGCTGTGTCCACCACATCCCCCAACCTGTACCCTTCTCTGCCCTCCGGGGCCAGGGTGGGTGTGCACCTGCCAACCCCTTCACTCAGCTGTCCCTTGACTGAACAGAGGCCGCTGTTACATGGGGGAGGGCACGCATGGGAGCATACCCCTCATCCCTGGAGATCTGAGGACCCCTGAGGGCCAGCCTGGGGCTGGGATACCGGTCATAGGATGGAACAAGTTGAGGGTGGGGCGAGATCGGGAGAGACAGGCAGACAGCCCCTCCTGGCCTTGCCTGACTCATTCACCTGCCCTTTTCCTTCCTCAGGGCACTTAAGTTTCCAGGACTGTTTTGTGACTTCCGGGGTCTGGAATGTGACGGAGCTGGTGAGAGTATCACAGAGTGAGTCCTTCCTCCTTCTGGGCCGGGGTTGAGTCCGCAGGGATGGAGGTGAGGAGTTGGGACTTGGACCCCATGTAGCCCCCCACTGATGGGGTCTCAGGTGGGGAGGGGGCAGACAGACTTCCTGGCACACTCTTGGCCTCATTGGCGCCGGGCTAGGTGGAATGGAGGCATTGGAGAGCCCCACCTCTAACCTCCACTGCTTTGGAGGGAAAAAAAAAATCATAACCAAGGAATCTTTCCAACAAGCTTCAGCCAAGAGGAGGTTTCCTCAGCAGCCTTCACAGTGAACTCACTCCAGGGCTTCCGGGGGGCTGCTCCCAGCAACGAAACAGGGGCCCATACTTTCCAGACCTCATCACACTCTCCCTTCTTCCCAGCTCCTGTTGCAACAGCATCAGGGCCCAACTTCTCGTTGGCAGACCTGGAGAGTCCCAGCTACTACAATATAAACCAGGTGACCCTGGGGCGGCGATCCATCACCTCCCCTCCTTCCACCAGGTGAGCCCCATGCCCCGGCCTTCCCCCAGCCCCGAGACATTGCAGGTGCTTCGGGCAGGGTGCTCCAGCTCGTTACCCTCCGTTGCGGGCGCTGGCTTCAGAGCCCAGGCCTGCTCTGCGGCGCACCCCTGAGCTTGGCGCTGGCACAGGCGCTCAGCCTCAGGGACACAAACTCAAGCGAGGCCAGGGCTCTGCCCGGAAGGGGCTCCCTGTGGGGACTGGAGAAGTCCTCTTTTCTGGGGGTGTGACCTCTGAACCCAGACAAAGCGGGGCTGGTACAGGCCTGGGGTGGACGCTCCAGGCAGAGAGAGCAGCCTCCATCCCAAATGAGGCTGCCAGGACTATCCCACAGTGGGCTTCACAGGACAGAGGAGTCAAGGAACAGAGGCTGGGGATATGTGTTCTAGAAAGACTTCTAGAAGCAGTGTTCGTGGGCAGGACGGTCAGTTAGAGGCTCTCCCACCAGGCTGGAGGGGAGGAGGCCCTGAGTCAGGTGGGGGATCGGCCTGAGAGGTAGGGGTGGAGTTGAGAGCCGTTTGGGAGGTAGGTACAGTGCATTCCGGTCAGAGCCAGTCATGCAGGACAGGGTGCGATCCTGTCCTTTTAAAAAAAAAAATCGAGTATTTTGGTTCATTGTGAGGTTCAAGTATTCATTTTGGTATGTTAGAATATTACATTAAAATGTTATGATATCTCCATAGTTAATCGTATTTTAATATAAAATAACATAGTATCACAGTGACTGAGTTTTGCGTCACCCCGTGGTGTTTTGTCCCTGGCCAGCGCCTCACTCACCCCCTCTGGCTGTGGGAGCTGACTGGAAGTAGCAGGCAGGCTGAGGAGGCAGCTGAGGGTTTGGCCCACTTCTTGGGCTCGGGTGGCTGGGTAGATGGCGGTGGGTGGTCTTGTGGACTGAGAAGGGGCTCAAGGAGGAGGGGGTGGGCTGGGCCCTGGGGGCTCTCAGTCTGACCTGGGCGGAGGGCACAGAGTGAGTGCCCTGAGATGCTGCTGACAGCGGGCATCAATGCAGGCTTCCTGGGTCCGGGTCCCAGTCCAACCAGTCACCTGAGGCCCACCTGACCCCTCTCCTCCTTCCCCAGCACCACCAAGCGCCCCAAGTCCATCGATGACAGTGAGATGGAGAGCCCTGTCGACGACGTCTTCTATCCTGGCACAGGCCGCTCCCCGGCAGCTGGCAGCAGCCAGTCCAGCGGTTGGCCCAACGATGTGGATGCAGGTACGGGCGCCACCGCAAGGCCCAACCTGGAGCACAGGCGGTGTGCAGCCTGCTGTCCCCCTCAGTTTTACCTGGCGAGCCTCCTGTGGTGCTTCCTGCTGCAGGCAGCACCGCCTGTCCTCTCCCAGCCCGCTCTTCCAGAGGGGCACAGGCCTGGACAGCAGAGGCGAGCGGGCAGGTTGTCACGTGTGGGCAGTAGGACCCACCGGTGTGGCAGAAGGAAAGCCCTGGCCCTGAGCCTCTGGTGCCCTGCAAGGGGGGCATGGCTTCCTCTTCAGAGCCTCCTTGTCCTCCTCCTCCTCTGGGTATTTCTTCAGGGAGGTGGCCCCCGCTCTACCGTCTTCATGGTTTAAAGCAGGTTCTCAGACTGGGCGTTCATGAACGTTCCAGGGCCACAGCATTGTCTGCTGCCGGGCCATTTTGTGCCCTGTTGGGTGTTGGAGTGGCAGCCCTGGCCTCTGCCCACTCGATGCCAGTAGCAAACCTCCTTACTAGGTGTGGTGGCCAGAAAGGTCTCTGGGCGTGGCTATGTCCTGCTGGGGACAGAATCTTCCTGTGTCTATAACCACTGGTCTAAGGAGAGGAGCACAGCCTAGCAGCGAGTGAGCAGAATTGTTGCCAGGCCTCTTGATCCTCTCACCAGCCCCTTCCTGGTGAGAGGAGGGGCTCACCAGGGGGCTCTCCTGTTTTGACAGGAGGTGTGGGCACACCTGGAGAGCCCAAGTGGAGCAGAGGGAGAGAGGGAGGGCCGTGTGTGTGTGTGTGTGTGTGTGCACGCACATGTGTGTGGTGCACAGGTGTGTATAAGGAGGCTGCCTGCAGAATGCTTCTGCCTGACACGTTGTTGGTGCAGCCTGTGTGTTACCTTCCAGGTACTGGGGTCTGGGGGCCAGGTAGTGCAGACCTCTGTGTGGGACGTGTTCATGTGGTTAGGCCTGGGGACAGAGGCCTTGTTCTGTGCTGCAGGAAGATGAGGGTCGGCCTGAGAGTGTTTTCCTTGGTGTCTTCCAGATGTTGCCATACCAGGAAGGGCCAGGCAGATGGGCAGGGGCCAGGGCTGGGGGACAGGCAAGACCGAAGGGCAGGGAGGGGCTTCCGCTCCCCTGCTATCCTGGAGGCAACCTCTGGCTTTCGCTCTCTGCAACTTGGGAGCAGGAGAGGAGGACTCACCTCCAGGCCCCCGGCTGAGGGAGAGGGCTAGACCGCCAGCGAGGTCCGCCCTCTGCCGACCAGTCTCCTGCACGACTCTGGGAGCCCCTCCCCGGGTGTCCTCCTGGCCAGCAGGGACCTGAGCCAGCAGGGCACAGATGTGGCCCTGGGGGAACCTCTGGAGGGGCAGAGAGAAGGGGTTGAGAGGCCCTGAAGAATCCCCAGCTGAAGTGAAGTCTTTCCTCAGGGACTGGTGTGCCTGGAGGGCCGTGTCCACTGCTGGCTTCTGAGGCGTGGGCCCCCCGAGTCACTCCACCCAGACCTGGCTCCCCGGAGCCTCCCCTCCGCAGCTCCAGCTCCCTCCTTTCCTGGCTGTCTGCTGTCGAGCCTGCCATTTCCGCTCCCGCCGGCAGTCCCTCCACGCATGGCCCCATGTCCTCCTGTGGCATCCCTGGCTCCCTCGCTTTTCCCCTCTTTTCCTCTATACTCACCCCCTCCTCCCACCAACACTGCGTTGTTTCCCTGTTCTGGGACAAATCGCCAATTAAGCAGCCCAGCTGCAGGACTGGGAACAGCTGGGGAGGTGCTGTGTGGCCAGGGGGACAGCTGGGCGCAGCTGGTGGGGGTGCTCCCCGCCCCCCCGGCCCCGCATCGTGCCAGCTATCAGGTGGCACACAGCTGCTGCCAGATAACACCTCTGCTGGCGGCTGGGAGTGCGCCCTTCCCCCGCCTCTTCCCTCTGTGGTTAAGACAGCTCTTATTTCTCTCTTCTGCAGCACCCCCCTTCCGCCCCCAGTACACACACCCCACCCAAACTGATTCGATTCGTGTTCCAAAGATGGCAGCTCTGGAGGCCTGCCCCGACTGCACCTTATCCTCCCGGGACAGGAGACTGGCTCCCCTGGGGGCCCTGGCCTGGGCGCCCTGCTTTGTCAGCCTGCTGGATGTCCTGCCCACTGGGTGCAGATGTGGTCTTGGTTGGCCTCGTCAGGCTGTTAGAGGCGAGCACAAATGGGGCGCTCTCTGTGTCCCTGTCTCTTGCCAAGTGCCTCCTCCACCTCTGGTCCTGGGAGCAGCGCAAAGCCCAGGAATGACCCACCCTGACCGTCGGACCTCTGGGTGCCTGACCACGCGCAGCCTTTCCTGGCTCCCTCACCCCCAGCTCCCACCCTGGCCCTCCAGCCTCCTCCCTGCCCCCTGTCAGATTTTGTTTCTCCACTGTGGTCCGAAGGGCCCACGGCTGTGCCTTCCCTTCCCGTAAGGAGCCCTGGCTTCTTCCTGGCAGAATGTGACCTGTAGCCCAGGACCCCATGGAGTAGACCCCAGCCTGCCCCTCCGCAGGGGCCTCCTCACTCTTTTTCTTTTCCTTTGACGGAGACCTTAATTTCCCCAGTGGAAGCACAGTCTTAGCCACTGGGCCTCCAGGGAAGTTCCTGGCCCCTCACTGTGAAGCTGCTCCCCAGGGCTCCTCCTGCACACCTTCCCTGCCCTCTGGCCCTGCCTCTGCGCTCTGATTCTGTGCACCTTGGAGCTCATAATCTGTTTGTTAGGGGGCAAGATGGCCCACCTGCTCACGCCCTGCCCGACGCACCACAGGGCCTGATCTCCCTCACTTGCCAGCAGCGGGTGGTCTGCACTCAGGGCCTGAGAATCAGGCAGCGGAGGCTGGGGAGCCCTGAAGGGAAGGGGGCAGCCAGGAGGGGGCTGAGGAGAGAAGGAGTGAGCTGCTGGCTTCCCGCCTCCCCGCTCCCTTCCTGGCCCAGCTAAACCTGCCCCGTGTTGCTGATTCCTCCCCTCAGGCCCGGCTTCTCTAAAGAAGTCAGGAAAGCTGGACTTCTGCAGTGCCCTCTCCTCTCAGGGCAGCTCCCCGCGCATGGCTTTCACTCACCACCCGCTGCCTGTGCTTGCTGGAGTCAGACCAGGTGAGAAACGGAGGGCCCGGAGGGGGGCAGCGGGGGTGGCAGAGGAGCCCTGCCTGAGGGCTAGCTGGCCAGGGAAGCCTGAGTGACAGCCCCCGCCCTCTGAACTGGCCGTGGTGTGGCAGTGGGCGGGTGTGGGGACGGGCCCCCCTCCACAGCAGCGGCACCTCCTCCAGACCCAGGCCGGCCCTTGGGCCTTCTCACCGTGCCCCCCACACGCTCCCACTTGCCTCTCACACCCCGTGTGCCGGGGTGCACGCCTCCTGTGCGCTGTGTGTGCACGTGAGGATGTGTGTTTGCTTATGTTCATGCGAGGGTGCTGTGTGCATGTGTTTGATGCACGTGTGCTCATGTGTTTGTGCGGACGTGTGCACGTGTGTGCTGTGTGCATGCGGTGTGACGTGTGCACACATGTGTGTTTTGTGTGGCGCAGGTCTGTCCTGAGGCCTTGGGCCCACTCCTCCCAGCTCTCCTTGCCTCCCACCAGCTGTGGGTGGGAGAGCACAGGCTTCTCCTTCTGCCCTCTTTCCAGTTTCTCTCAGCGCCCCAAAGTGCCCAGGGTCTGTTTTCCCTGGCACCGGCCCACGTTACTCTGAGGGACCCTCAGAGGGGCCCAGGCTCCCTGCTCGAGGCCTCCCCGCTCTTTTCCAGAAGCGAAGGGCTAGGCCAAGGGGAAAGGAAAGGAGCCGGCAGACAGCCTGCCAGGGGCGGGGGGCGCGGGGTGGACACTGCTCCAGTCTGGCAGAGAGAGAGCTGGAGGGGAGGGTGCCGCCAGGTTCTGGAGGGGATGGAACCAGGTGGGAAACTGTGGGCGCCTCTTCCCTCTCGAGAGAGGCCTGGACTGTTTCTGAACACTGCCCTGTGTCTGCCCGCCACCCCGGGCCCTTGCATAGGACACGGAGCACTCGGAGGGTCACCCTCCTGGCTTCCTCCTCAGGGCCTCCTGGCTGGGAGCCAGCAGCGGGGCAGGGTGTGGTGGCTGCAAGGTGGGGGTGGGGAGCCCAGGCCCTCCACACAGGCAGGGGAGGGCGGCAGGCCCCGCTCCACTCAGCTTTTATGAACTCCAGAGAGAAGCCAAGTTTCTTTAGGCCCCTAATGAAACCGAGAGCAAGAGTGAGCTGATTGGAAACAGACAGGCTAGGGAGGACTTGGCTGGGGAAGAAGTGGGGCCTGCTCCGGGGTGGGAGCTGGGCGTCCGGGGAAGTGTGTATGAGCTGCGGGCCCGAGCACAGAAGAGTGTGACCCGGCAAGCTGCAGCCAGGTGCACGTCCAGCCTCATGCGGGGCGTGCGTATGCTCCATGGAGGCCCCTCTAGCGCTGGCACGGGGCCGGGTGTTTGTCCAGAGCCCCACCGAGTGGTCTGCCTGCTCCCCAAGGCTCCCTCCCAGGCCCTGCACCAGAGAGGGGTGTGTGAGGCACTGACTTTGGCGCAGAACGTCAGGGAGCACCTGAAATCTCAGTCACCAAAATTTATAAATGATATTAAATGCAATGTTCTAAAAATTAAAACAATTGCAAAAAATACATGATAAGCGAATATCAGTATTTTAAATAAAAGGACTGATCTTGTAATTGCATGACCCTGTCTCACCTCACAGGGCTTCCCAGGTGCCGCTAGCGGTAAAGAACCCACCTGTCAATGCAGGATGTAAGAGATGTGGGTTCAACACCTGGGTTGGGAAGATTCTGAGGAGGAGGACTTGGCCACCCACTCCAGCATTCTTGCCTGGAGAATCCCATGGACAGAGGAGCCTGGCAGGTTACAGTCCATTGGGTTGCGAAGAGTCAGACACAACTGAGCGACTGAGCATGCACACACGTCTCACCTCATCCTAACTCTAGCCCTGATTCCAATCAAAATTTATTTATAAAGAGAAGCAGCTGGTCTCTGGGCCATCCCTAGTTTTGCCAATTCAACTTTTTAAAATATTGCATTCAAATGCTATTTACCTTGACTTTACTGAGTGTTTTTGGTGCCATCTCACACACCTTCACACTAGCAGTCGGCGCGTCACTCTCCCCACCCTGGCCCCTGCCCTGCTCCTGCCCCGTTCTCTGGACGCAAAGGGCTCTGACCAGCAGGGCTTCTCGGCTTCAGTGTCCCTCGCCATGGCCTTCTTGGCCCTGACGATACCCTTTCCTTCCTGCTGCATGCACGCAGGGAGCCCCCGGGCCACGGCGTCAGCGCTGCACTTCCCCTCCACGTCCATCATCCAGCAGTCGAGCCCGTACTTCACGCACCCGACCATCCGCTACCACCACCACCATGGGCAGGACTCGCTGAAGGAGTTTGTGCAGTTTGTGTGCTCGGATGGCTCGGGCCAGGCCACCGGACAGGTGAGTCCAGAGGACCCCGCGAGCCCCCCTGCAGCTCATCTTTGCGTCTGTCTGTCTGTCTCAGGGCTCACAGGGAGAGGGCCCCAAAGCCGGGAGCCCACCTGGGGCTGGAGCAGCCATGAGCTGGGACTACCGAACACCTCAGTCTTCTGGGTCCGGGGGCAGGGATCCACGTGTCCGCCCAGGGCCTCTTCATCCTGGTCCAGAGAGGACGGGGCAGTGGCTGGGCCCACCTTGCTTGGGCTCTTTACCCAACTCTGGTCTTTCCCCATAGCAGGAGTGGACCAATGATCTGTCCAATCCGGGCCCAGACCCCTTAGCTCCTGACACCCCTCTTAAACCTCAGGGCTGCAAGGATTCCCTTGCAGCTGACACTGGGGCCCGTCCGTTCTCTGTGGTGTGGGAATGTCTGTGCACTCTGGGTGCTAAGCAGTGTGCCTGGCCCCCGCCCACTTGATGCCAGCAACACCGCCCTCTGTCAGCTCTGAGGTCGTGACCGTCTCCAGATTCAGTGTGCTCGGGGGCACCTTCCTCATCCCCAGTGAGAAGCCCTTGGGAGATGGCAGGCTCCCTTCCACAGGCTGTGTCATGAGATTCCTGTTGGTGGGACTCTTAACGAGGGGCTCTCAGGTCAGTTACGGTTCTGGAATAAAGTATTTCTGCTCCTCAGCCTGGGAGAGAGACAGCTCCCCATGGAGCTCTGTCCCCACTGTCCTTCTCCATCAGCGAGCCCTAGAGCAGAGACACAGATCCAGTGAGCAGAGAACTACCCCCGACGGCAGTGAGCCCCCCGTGACCCTTCAGTGGGACAGTGGTCCTTGTGTAGTTCCTGGGAGAGCATTCCAGGTTGGGGCATGGTGATCTCTAGACCTCTGGGAATGTTCTGGAACTCCAGCAGCATACTGTGCTGTAAGAAGGCCCAGCTGCTTGCCTCCCAGTTGGTCCAGCTTGGAACTGCACTGTGAGAGGTCAGGTGTGGCGAACACTCAAAGTGCCCTGGCAGGGAAAGGCATTCAGAAGCCGCCCTGAGAGGGGGCGGCGGCCCTCAGCTGCTCAGCCTGGGGCTGCCGCAGGGCACTTGCGTAGTGCTGGCATCTCGATGCGGGCAGGGCTGCGGCTTGGCCCCTGTGTTCTTGCTGTCCAGGGCAGAGGCCAGTCTTCTTCCCTCCCTCCTGCTCTTCTCCCCTTTTCCACTTTTCTCATCTTCTTTTCCCCTCTGCCCTGCGAGGGTTTCTTTTGCTGGCTCTGCAGCTCCTTGGCACATGCCGAGTTTTGCCCACCTCTCTGGACAAGCTCTGTCCACTTGTAGGGGCACTGAGGGAAAAGTGGACACGATTCGCAGCAGCCCCCGTGCTTCCTTCAGAGATGCCAGCAGAGTCTACGGGAGCTGCCGGCCTGTATCCCAGCCCCAGGGGTCCTGGGTTCTGGAATCTGGATCGGAGGGGCTAGGAACCTTGCTGTTCCTGCTTCTCAGCTATGGGGCCAGCTGGGGTTTCAATTGAAATGTGACTCACCTGGGGAACTGACTTGGCCCAGAGAACCGAAGCTAACCCACAGGACCCTCAAGAGTGTGGGTCAGTCCATCCCTGGACTTCCTGACAGCCAGGTCCTGAGCCTTCCCCTTGACTTGATCACTCAAGATCAAGGGCTCAGGAAGTCCATGGCCATCCAGGGTTATGACTCCGCGCTTTCATTGCCAAGGGCCTGGGTTCAGTCCTGGTCAAGGAACTAAGACCCTGCAAGCCATGTGGCACGGCAAACAAAGAAAAGATCAAGGTCTCCTTGGCCTCGAAAGTTCTCTTCTCAAGGCAGGTGCTGGCTCTGAGTAGACAGTTGACAAAAAGCTATTTATTGACAGGGAGCAGACAGCCCCTCTGGTTAAAGAGAAAGTCTAGTTTGGCTGAGAGCAGTCTCTACAGGTTTCCTCTTGTGGCCTATTGTGCCCGAGAGTTGGGTGTGGCGTGGAATGCTGCAGCGAGCCCGCTCTTCGGCGCCCATTTCCTGAGAGGAGACTAGAGATGGTCTCCCCGTGGTGTGGAGGAGGAGCCAGAGGCCCTGGGCTCTGCCACTGACATGGTGGCAAGAGGGTGGGGTACTGGACTGTGCTCGTACCACGGCCATCCCAGAGTAGGAGCTCTTGGTCTTAGCGTGTGTGAGAGTGACTTGGAGGTGAAAGGTGGCTGGGCCTCATCTAAGTCAGCAGCTCTGGTATGGGGTGTAGAATCTGCATTTCTCCGCAAGTTCCCAGGTGACGCTGCTGCTTCTGGTCAGGGGACCCACTTGGAGAACCACTGATGTAGAGGCTAGAGAAGTAAGTTATAACCTCCCGAGAATCAGAAGTTAGGAACCATCTTTGCAGAAAATTATATGCATACAAAATTTTACAGTGTGCACAATGGTTCCCAGGTACCTCTTAGACCCCAGTGTAAGTTCCTGACTGAGAAAATCAGGTCAGTAAAGACCAAGGCCAAATGGAGATCCACTTAGAGCAGGGGTCCCCAATCTCTGGGCTATGAACCGGTACCTCCTGTCAGATCAGCAGTGGCATCAGATTAGAAATAAAATACACAATAAATGTAATGTGCTTGAGTCATCCTGAAACCATCCCCTCCACCCCCCAGTTTGTGGACAAATTGTCTTCCACGAATCCAGTCCCTGGTGCCAAAAAGGTTGGGAACTGCTGATTAGAAGACACGCAAAGGGCAGAAAGAGGATGCCCAGTTAGCTGTATTTCTGGCATAGAAAAGAGACCAAATGAGCACGATAGAGAAGACGCGGGGACTGATGAGAGGCCATGGCTCTGGGAGGCAGGAAGCCTGGTTCCAGCTGAGCCTTGCTCTCCTGTTGCAGAGTGGCCAGGCCCACATCTTCATCTGTCAGATGAAAGGGAGGTGCTATCCCAGCTTCTAGTTTACTTCTAAGCTCTTAACTCGCAAGGTCTTAAGGTACCACAAAGTCCCAAGATCCTGAGATTTTTAAACCTTCAACTCATACCCCAACCAGAGCAGAGACAGCCTGGCCTGGTTGGGACCTGCTTCTAGGATCTGAATGTTGTAAATCAGCAGCTTTCCATGTCTGGCCCTATCAGGCTAGGATTTGTTTTATCAGATGAGATTAGTGATTCAGATCCTCCTGGGGGGAGACAGGCTCTTGAGGAAGCAGAGGCCACCCTGTGGGAGCAGGGGCTGCCCAGAAGGCTCCTGTGTCCCAGCTGCCCCTGGAGCCCAAGCTCAGGACAGCCTGGAGAGGAGTGAGGCTTGATCCTTTGGGATCGTTCTACTTCCTGCCCTGATGGAAGAGCAAGATAGGAGCCAGATAGGCTGTGGAAATGAGGGAAGGCAGTTGCCACTTCTGTGTCAGCATTACCCTGCAGAGCTGGCAGCATGCTGTTGCTTGGAACCAACAGCCTGACCGGGGAGACAACGTTTTACATCACTTGTCATGGTAGCTATGGAAGGTTTTGGGGCACTGGGGTGTCTGAACTCCTCTGGATTTGGGAAGAGGGTTGATAAGTCTATGGGTCCATGGAATCAAGACAAATATGGCCATGAACTTGTAGGGACACTTTAGTGGCCATTGTAGCTGGGTGACTTTGGCTAGAACGCTTAACCATGAGGAGCCTTAGTTTCCTCTGTTGTGAACAGGGGAGCGTGGAGCTTCCCTTCTCCTACGGGTTCGGCACCATTAGCCTGTGGACCACTGGGCCTTTGTCCTGGGGGTGGCCCTATGTGTTATAGGGTGGGTGTCAAGCCGCATCCTCAGCCTCCACACCCTCAAGCTGTGTCAACCAGAATGTCTCCAGACACTGTCAGTACCCCTGGGGGGCAGGCAGAAACAAGAGGAACTGCCTTAGCGGTGGTTGGAGGACGGGACACAGCCTGAGTGAAGTGCCTGGTTCCGTGCCAGGTGCTGAGCTGAAGAGCATGCTGTCCGCAGAGGGGAGGCCCCTTGGAGTCTCATTTTCATAGTCCAGGTGAAACCAGTCACGATCGAAGGATGACCGAGCTGGAGACAGAGCAGGGGTGGACTCTGCAGGCTTTGCTAACAGGAGGAAGAGCCTGTGAACCTCCCATGGTCTTAAACCTGGGGGAGCTGGGAGGACAGAGGTTTGAGCCACAGGAGAGAGGCCAGTTTAGGAGGAAGAGTTCTGGCCTCGCCCCCGTGAGCCCAGGCTGCAGGTGGTCATAGAGGGCACTGCTTGGAGCAGCAGGAGGTACAAGGTCCGGGGAAGCTGTGTCTGCCGGAAGCCAGGGCCCTCTGCCCCTCTCTGTGGGGCCGGCATGCCTTGAACCCCAAAGGCTGATGAACACAAGGCCACACGTGGGGCCGGGAGGAGGCAACTCAAGTTTAAGGCACAAGAGGGAGTAATGGACAATTTGTGGCTCTGGTGGCTGGTCCGGCTTCTGGGGGAACTGGGGCTGCCAGCAATGGGTTTTCTTCTTGGGCTGCTCTGTAGCAGATAGGCTAGCATCCACTGTCCTCAGGTACATGCCCTGGCTTCCCCCCTGAGGCCATGACACGGGGCGCACGCTGGTGGGCCTGTGGTCCTTGGTTGGGTCAGCTGATCCTACCCCAGGAGCCCACCCAGGGGAGGCACGTGTGTGTTTTGGGGGAGCACAGGGAGTAAGCTGGTGCATCTTTGCTGCCATAGGAGAAAGTCTTCAGAACGTGACAGTTCAGAGCACAGCTGCTTGTATAGTTAAATGGCAAGTTTTGGTACGTAAAACCTGTTCCCTAAGAAATAACAAACGACCCGTCGGACATCCCCCTTCCTCCCTCCCACCACTTCGAAAGAGGACGACAGAAAAAAAAAAAAAAAGAGAAACACCTGAGAGACCAAATAGAGGCCTCACGCCCTCACCACCCCGGCACCCTGGAGGAGAGGACCCCACCCCGCGTCCTCCGCTGGGAGCGCTGCCGGCTCTCAGGAGCGAGCGGGCGTGCCCGCGCAGGGGAGCGTGTGTCTGTGTGTGATGTGCCTTCATGCGCCACTCTATTTATGTTGTTCGCAGCCCAACGGTAGCGGCCAGGGCAAAGTCCCGGGGTCATTTTTGCTACCACCGCCGCCTCCAGTGGCCAGACCAGTGCCCCTTCCTATGCCTGATTCCAAATCCACCAGCACTGCCCCAGACGGCGCCGCCTTGACTCCTCCGTCACCTTGTAAGTGGACGATGAAACCGAAACCACATGCCCAACGTCCCCGGCCCGTCCAGGCAGCCTCCGCTGCAAAGAGGAGAGCCCCCTCTCACTGCCAAAGGCCCCCCACCCAGAGTGCCTCCCACCCCGACGAGGACAGAGCTGAGCTCCCCGACTTTGGCCTCCGGGGCCTTAGTGGCACCAGCCAGCACCCCACGAGCCCCCCTGCCCGCCCGCTGCTCCCAGCTGGGGCCCCTGGCCCAGGCCCCTCCGGGGGGCGGGAGAGGGAGCACAGTGGGGGCACCCAGGCCAGGGGTGCTGGCCAGGGTGGGCGGGGGGAGGGGAGGCACAGCCATGCCATCTTCATGCCTAACTGCTGTTTTTTTCATTTTTTTTGTTTTTTCGTTTTTCGATTTTTTTGTTGTTTCGTTGTGCCCCTCCCCCCACACCAAGAAAATTAAATGTGACCACAAGGCGACGCCACCACCATCCCCTTTTTGCCTTGCCCCCCTCACCTCCATTCTGGGCCCCCAGGCCTCTAAAGTTGCAGCAGGCCAGCCCCTGCTCCCCTCCCCTCCAGCCTTCAGTCTCACATTTGGTTTCTCGTTGTTCCTCTTTTTTTTTTAAACCCTCCCTCCCATCCCTCCCCTTTCCCTCAATTTCTCCCCAGGTTGGATCTTCCAAGGACAAGGAAGGGCTCTGGACCTTGGCTTACTTCATCTCTTTCTTTCTCTCTCTTTTTTTTTTTTAAACCGATGACAAATTTTGTCAAAGGGAAGAGAAAAATCTGAGTTGAGAGGCCCCAGCTAGACCCGACGACGTATGGAGGACAGGAGAGGCGGAGGGTGGGCGGTGTGCCGTCTGGGGGACTGTGGGCGGGGGTGGGCAGCGCTCTGGGGGCTGGCAGGCTGTGGGTCAGGACTCGGGGACAGTGGCGGAAGGGCGGCCCATCTCACCACTCTTCTCGGCCTCGCGCTCTCTGCCCCACCTTCTTTTTCCATGGTTTGAGTTCTTTTGCCCTCTTCACCCTCTTCATGTCATCTTCTCATCTGCATCTGCCACAAGACACAAGTCATGGCCATGGTCAGTGGAGGCGGGGGGAGGCCCGGCCGCAGGGTGGCCGGGGGCCACTGACGGACAGAGTCTGGTGGGCACGGGGCCCCTGGGGCGTATCTGGTGCTGGGGGCGATGGGAGGGGGACTCCCAGTTAGCCTGTGACACGCCGCATCCTTTCTGGGGGCTTCCTTCCTTCCAGGGTACAGGGCCAGCTCCTTCCCATAGGGCTCCAGCCAGACAACCCAGAAGAGCTCCAGAGTCTTTGGCCCATTTGCCCCCTCAGGCCTCAGAACAACTGCCCCTGCTGCCCACGCCCTGGGGCTTTGCCAGGCCCTCTGGCCTCCTCCTTCTCTGCACGTGGGCCCATCTTGGTCCCTGGGAACCGCAGGACCATAGGAGCTGGCTCATCCATCAGAGGAGGAGAATGCCTGCCAGGCCTGAGCCCTGCCACCCCTGCACCTGAGCCAGCAGCCAGCTCCCAGACCCTCTCTGACCTGTCCCACCCAGCTTAGCCCTCTACTGGGACCCTTCAAGTTTCCCAAGCCACGGGGCCAGTCCTTGGGCCCAGGGTGGTAAGCGGAGCAGCACCCAACCAGGTGCCCCTGCTGGAGCGGTGGCCCGGCTGAGATGGCCTTCTCCCAGCAGGGTGGGGCCGTCTCCAGAGCTCCCAGCCTCCTGGCCTCCCTTTTCTCCAAAACCAAGAGGCCCAGCAGGAAAGCAAGGGTTCTTACTTCAGGTGCTCTGGGAGGAGGGGACAGAATTGGGTCCACAGGGCCTCAGCTAGAGCCTCCAGGGCCACAAAAGAGCTTCCCTGGCTGCGGCGGATGGAGTGCCAGGGCTAGGGGACTGCGAGCTCCTGGTCAGTGAGAGGATGAGGGGTCCCCTCCGGCCTGGCCTTCCCGCCGCCAGCCTCAGCCCAGGCAGCATGGTCTAACCTAGTCTCTCCCTCTCTCAGCAGCCCTAAGGGGCAGTGCCCGGGTGGGCCCCCAGTCCTCACAGGGTCTCTCCCTCTCTCCCCTGCTCCCCACAGCATTCGCAGCGACAGGCGCCTCCTCTGCCAACCGGTTTGTCAGCATCGGACCCCGGGACGGCAACTTTCTGAACATCCCACAGCAGTCTCAGGTAGGAGGCCCTGCCCACCACGTGGACACAGGCAGGGGTGGGGGTCTTCTGGCGTTCTGGAGGAGGCCAGGGTCCTGGGGCAGTCGGGAGAAGAGGCCGGGGCAGGGCTGGAGGGCTCAGGCTTTTGCACGCCCAGCTGAGCCTGCCTCCCCAGGCAGCCCCCAGGCCCCCTGGCTAATCAGCTAATTGGATAATTAGCTCTGACAGCCCTGGCCCTGGGGAAGGCAGCCAAGGACCCAAGGCTAGAGGCGCTCTGGGCCAGGCCTGGTGGAAGCGAAGGTGGAAGTGGGAGGCTGTATCAGGAGGACAGGGTCTGCCTGGTTGCTTTCCTTCTGCTCTGGGGCATGTTTTTGCCCCAGGCCCTCCCCTCTCCTTGGATTTGGGTGGGCCACGTGCCCAGAGACTCTGGCACTGGGGGTGAGGCACGGCCCAAAGCTGCCCCGGAGGTACCTCCCCCACATCCTGTGAATCCTGTCAGAGGGGTGGCCAGGCTATTGGAGCCGCTAGTCCTGCTGCCATCTGCCCGCAGTTCTCACAAGGAAATGTACCCCCCAGTCCCGGTGCTGGAGGCCCCTGGACCAGGCTTTGCACAGTTGTCTTTGCACCCTGGTGCACGCAGGCCTCCTACCTTATTCCTGTCCCTAGGAGGCTGGCGCCCGCCTATAGAACCCAGGGCACTCAGGGCACAGGGAGGATCAGCCCCAGGAGCAGAGGCCAGGCAGCTTGTACAGTGTGGGGCTTCTGGAGAGTAGAGGGAGAACAGGCAAAGATCTTTTTCTTTTGCACATTCGACAAAAACACCCGCCCTGTGAGCCCAGGGCCTCGGAGGCTTCCTTAGCCCCCGGGCCACCTTTTTCAGCTCCCGCTCTCTCTCTGCTCTGAGGCCCAGGTCCAAAGAAAGTTGGTGGATGGAAGTTTTGTGTGTATGGTTTAAGGTTTTGTTTTTTTCCCCTTTTCCTTTCCCTCCCTAAAAAAAAAAAAAGCCAAAAACTTTGTCAGACTTCAAACTTCAGAGCTCCCTAGTGGCAAGGAGGGGAGGGGAGGAGAACTTCAGCCCCCTTCAGCTTCCCACCCCCTTTCCCCAGAGTCACGTCTGACCCGTCTGGTTTCCAGGAGCAACCAGACATGATGTAACACCCAGATGAACTTGAACTTGGGGGTGTTGAGAAGAAAAACAATGGCTTCGAGCAGGGGCTGGAGCCAGCCCCCTCCACTCTGTGCCAGGGAGGCTGCGAGAACCCTGCTGGTAGAGGGCAGGAGGGGGTGCCAGAGGAAGGGGCAGCAGGCGGGCCTTCCCTCCCGGCTCGGGGCTGGCACCAGGCGGCAGGGCTCCAGCGTGCCCGCCTGCCCACCCTCCCTCCTCCTGCTGTCCGCCCTGCAGCTCTGCGTATAGTATGTTCGTGCTTGCTCACTCTCGGGGACCACTGCCATGAGCCCTCCCTCCCCATTCACCCCATTTCCGCCTCCACATGCTCTCCCTGCTTCACTTTCTCCGCTCACTTTGGTTGGATAGTGGGGCCAACTCAGAATCTGAGGCATGTTTGGGAAACATTTTTTCTTCCCCTGGTTCCTACACGGAGCCTTGGGGCCCAGGGCCCTGAGCAGGCAGGTGTGTCTGGGAAGGGGGGTTGGGGGGCCAGAGGAGTCGGACAAGCTGATCAGGGAGCCCTCAGGCCTGGGGGCAGGCAGGCTGCTGCAGCGGGTGCAGGGGGTACAGTGGGGGGTGGTTTCCACAGTAACCAGTGACTTTAGCCGATCTCTGGAGCACCAGATGGAGAGAGAACAATAGAATGAGGGAAGAAAAGAGAATTTTAGCAATTTTGTCATTCCCTGGGCAGCGCTTTTTACTTAGTTTTAATCAATTTTGGACCTGGCTCAGGAAACAGGGAGGGGTGAGCAGAAAAAGCCACTCCGGGCTTGGCAGCAGACCTCCCGTTCCTGGGACCCACAGGGCGGCACCAAGGAGTCCCACTGGAGTCGTTTTTGTCCCTAACTCTAGGCCTGGAACCGGAACTGGAGTCTTCCTCCCCTGAGCACTGATGGTTGTCCCCCCCCCACCCCCCACTGCCGCCATGCAGCTCAGGAGACCCCCACAGGGGCCAGCCCGGGGCCTTGGTCTGGCCTGCCAAGGGCAAAGGGGCCAAACAGGCCCTCCCTGCCCCGGTGCCCCAGCCTCCTCCCTCTCAGGAAGGGGGAGAGGTGGGCTTATAGGCAGGGCAGTGGTGTAAGGGTGCCAGTGTAGTCCCCCCTTGGCGTCCCAGGGAACACTTAACACCTGAGCCTGCAGGGACCAGGGGCTCACCCGGGAAGCTCCCCTCTTCCTCGGGCCAGAAGCCTGCTGCTGCAGCCTCCCTCCCCCAGCTGCTCTGGGAAGGCCTCAGTCCTGGCTTCCGCCCACACCTTAACAGGCCCCTCTGTGTCTCCCTCTGGCCTGAAATCAGTTGATGGGGTTGGATTCTGGGTAGGGGCTCCAGGGCCTCCCCCACAGGAGGGCAGGGCTCCTCTGTGCATGCTGTCCACGCATGGCAGGAAGGGTTGTGTCTTCACCTGCCCCGTAAATGGTAGCAGTGCCCCCAGTCACCATGGCAACTGCAAACCCCCACGTTGCCAAGTGCTCCCCATCTGCACTGTCTGGTGGCCACTGGCCACATATGGCTGTTTAAATAACTAGAGAAAAATTTAGACCCTCGGGCACACCAGACGCATTTCAAGTGCTCAGAAGCCATGTGTTGCTAGTGGCTACTGCATTAGACAACACAACTAGAGAATATTTCCATCGTCCCAGAAAGTTTTAGATGATCTCCGAGGCCCACCCTTTCTTCTTTTTTCCAGTTTTACTGAGATATAATTGACAGATAGTCTTGTATAAGTTTAAGGTGTACAACATAACAATTTGACTCACATACATCAGGAAATGACTACCAGAACATGTCTAGTAAACATCCATTCACTCATAGAATCAAGGCCCTTTCTAACTCTAAAAACTTGAAGTCTCCATCTCACAGTGGACAATGGCCTGCAGTTCCAAACCAAAGCCTGACCAGGAGGCCATAATCTGTGTGACTGAAACACGTCTTTTAAATAATGGAAAATTTCACATGAAATTGTCTGGACTTTCAGCTTCTTTTGAAAATTTGGCTGACCTAGCCACCCTAGGCCCTCACCCCAGTGTGGCAGCCTGGGCTGCAGCCTTGGCAAGGTGTCCTGGCCACCACAGACCCTGCCTCCCTGGGAGCGCGCCACACGTGAGCAGTGAGGAGCATGGACTGGAAGCCGCCCCTGCACTGAGCGCCCGGCCGTGCGGGCTGTGTGGCCTTGAGCAGGACAGCCACCCTCCCTCCCGCCGGCCTCTGTGCAGGGCTGGAGTGGGGGTGGGAGGCGTCCGAGCCGCACGCCCTGCAGTTGGCTGTGCTTGGCCTCTGCTGGCCTGAGTCTGGCGCAGCGCCTGCGAGAGACCCCAGGGTGCGTTTTTAAGGACTCCTTCAATTTTGCCTCCAGGGTACCACCAGGCACTGTAGACCGTAGAGGAGCCGCCCCCCCCCCCCCACCGCCCCATCCCTCTGGCTCTGAGGTGGGGCCAGAGCCTTTTGTGCAGGGCACTGCCAGGCAGCCCAGTCCCGGGGGCCCACCCTGGCTGCATTTATGGAAAGGCGGCGCCCCCTGCTGGCATCCTGAGGGAAGCTGCTGCCCACTGCAGGAGCCTCAGGTTGTTCCCCAGGGCGTGGTGCCCACTGGGCAACTGACCCCTTCCCCTGGGCCTAGCACTGTGAGGGACAAAAGTCATGTGGTACCCAGCCCTCCCCTGCCTTTCAGCCTGTGGGACCTTAGCTGAGGTATACAGATGGGAATTTCTGCTTTTAATCCAAAGAGACAGAAAGAAAACTCAGCAAGAAGCTGGGCTTCCCCCACCCCACTCCCCAAACCCCTCTGGGGACAAAAGCTGCAGCCTGGCATCCTCCTCCCCTGCTCCAGGACCTACACAAAAACCCAACAATTGGAAACATGGCCAGATCCCAGGTCTGTGCCCGTGCCAGCGCCAGCCATGGGGGTCCCACCCGCTGGGCACTGTGCCCACGGGAAGGCCAGCTGGACTCCAACACTGGAGGCGGGTCTCTTGGGGGAACAGGATTCCCATAGGAGGGACCCTTGCGGGAGGTGTTGGTGTCCTTGACTCGGCTGGAGCTGGAACCCCCCTGGGGCTTCAGGCACCAACCTGGAGTCCCAGGACCAGGTAAGGGCAAGAAGGCACCGACCCCTGCTCATCTCAATATCACCTCTTTTTTTGTTTGTCCTATTTCAGTCCTGGTTCCTCTGATAAGATCAACAAAAGAAATGACAAAATGAAAAGAAGAGGTTCCTCAAACGGGGGGAGAAGAAATTTTGAGATGTGGAAAAAAAAATCCCCCAGCCCAGCCCAGCCCCACCGAAAAGCAAAAATTAGACGTCGTCAGCCACTCAGCCCTTCTCTCCTCCAGCCCGGGGACCCCTGCAGGCCCCCAGAAGCAGCTCAGTTCTCAGAGAGCCTCGGAAGAGGTCTCGGTGGAGCTGTGCGCCAGCAGCCAAGCAGAAAGAAACATGCAAAACGGACTCTGTCAAGTAGAGGACAGAAAGAAAGGATGCAGAACTGCCTTCCTCCCCCCACATCCCGTCCCGGCCTTCTGGGGAAGAAGCAAAATCCCCAAACAAAGCAACCAGCACAATTCTGAAGGGGCCTGTCCCCTACCCTCACCCTTCCCAGGGGAACCCCACCCTTGACTTCAGCCGGAGCTTCACTCGGGAGCTCAGAGGACCAGCTTGTAAAGATGATGGGGTGCAGACCCCGAGGGCTCTCCCCTGCAGACTCCACCCCCTCCCTCCCTCCCCCGAATTCGCCTCCGGCTTCTTCGCCTGGACTGGGTGAGGCAGGGTAGCCTTGAGATCCCACCGCCCCTTCCTCGGGCTAGAAGTCCACCCCTCCCCCACCCTGGCTCGGAAGGGGGCATCTTCTGGAGTCAGTTTCATGCTTCCAGAAAGGAGGGTGTTCTGCCACCCCACCCCGAGCTGCAGGGCCAGTTCCCCAGGTCCCAAACCCCTCTGTACAGTCCATAGGAAAAAAAATCGGAATGCTCTTCCAGACGGCCCCTCCCAGCCCGGGACAGGTGCCCTCTCCTCTCCCTCCCGAGGCAGGCCAGGAGGTCGTCGTCCGGACCGGCCACGAGTGAGGGGAGCTGGGCCCCCGGTGGCGCCCACACCCCGGCCCCGCATGCAGGTGCCCGCGCTCTGCCCCACCGGTCCCCGCCCCTGCCCCTCCCGCAGACAGCCCTGCCGCGGCGGGGCCGGAGAGTGGAGCAGAAAGGGGACCCCGGAGTCGAGCGAGAGTGAGGCAGCCGCCGCCGCTGCCGTCGGCTAAACCTCCACCTGCGCTAGGTAGGCGTCCTGCTCGCCGACTTTCAGTTCCTTTGAAGGGTGTTGGGTGTCGTCCTTTTTCAAAAAGTGTTTTGGAGCTTTCTCTGCCCTACCCCCCCCCACCTCGCCACACCACCCCCATGGCCACTTCTCTCTGGATTTCAGCTGTAATGTCTTTACTCTTTATTTAGGGGTGGGGCATTCATTGTTTCGGTCTTTGCTGTTGCAATTGGTAACCCCTCCATTTGAGCAACTTGGGAACAATTTGATAACACACCGCAAGAAGTAGCTCTTTCCCCCCCCTCCTCCCCACCGCAGCCCCCTCCTCCTCCAAGGGATGGTTGGGGGCATGTCCAGAGGGTCTTCAGAAGCCCCCCCTGGGAGGGATGGGAGCAAGAGCACGCCCAGCCCCCCTCCAGGGTGTGACTTGGCCCCGCTGGCTTGTCTTTCTGTGCCTTACTCCCTCCTCCCCGCCTCTCCCTCCTGCGCCCCTTTCTGGAGTCCTTGTGCCTCTCTTTCTCTCTCCTTAACTGTCTGAAAACACAAAGCACAGGTCAGGATCCTCTGAAAGTCAAGCAACCCAACATTGCACCACATAGGGGTGGGTTTTGGGCTTTATTTATTGTGAATCTAGTTGGTGAGGCTGTGGCCCCAAGCGAAGGGAGGGAAGGAGGGGAGGGAGGAGGTTGGGGAGGAGCGGAGGGCCCTCACCTGGGGCCAAAGGGGCCAGCGAGCGGCCGCCTCCTCCCGCGCTGGAATCAAGGAGGTGGCTGGCCCCAGGGGTGGCTTTTGTTGGAAGTCGAGCGAAGCCCCCCCGCCCCCCATCCGCGTGCAGCCCTCGGGGAGGACCGGGTCTGAGAAGCAGGGGACGGGGGAACCCGCGGGAGCCTGGGGGTCGTGGGGAGTAGGGCGGGGGGTGGTGGGGGGCCGGGTGGGCCGGGCGTGACGCGCGGTCAAAGTGCAATGATTTTTCAGTTTGGTTGGCTAAACAGGGTCAGAGCTGAGAGGGGAGCAGAAGGGACCCCGTCCCCCTGCCCGGCCGCACGCGCCCCTTCCCTCGAAGACAATCGGGGCGGCGGGCGCGGTGGGCTCTCGGGGGCAGGGGGTCTGCGGGGCGCCCGCCCAGGCGAGGTCGGAAGCTGCAGGCCAGCTGGGCCGGGGCGGGAGCGCGCCCTATAGGGCTGCCCGGGTGGGCACGGGGGTAGGGGGCCGCTCCTTTCCTAAGTGTCGTTGTGAGGGGCAGACGAGGGCGACAGGAGATGTGGGGACGTGTTAGAAGAGAAAAAAAAAAAACCCACAAAAATATATATGGGGGGAATGAACTTTTTTTTTTTTTCATTGAACCAAGTGCAATGCATCAGAGAGTTTTCCTATCTTTGTATGTTAAGAGATAAAGAAAAAAAATTCTATTTTTGTTGTAATGTCCTCGCGGCTCTGGGGACGCTAAAAGAACCGGGCCTGCCCCGCCCTGCGCGGGGATAACGAAAGCTGAGTGTTTTTTTCCTTTTTTTTTTTTTTTTTTTTTGTTCGTTTTCAGGTTTTTTTTTTTTTTTAAGTCGTTTTCCTGCGTTGACGAGGATGATCTGGGGTTTTTATTTGCTTCGTCGTTCGTTCTCGGTTTCGGTGGGAGGGCTGAAGGAAACGTTCATTTTAGAATTAAAAAAAAACCTCGACATTAAAAATCAACACAAGATCAAAAAGGAAAAGGACGAGAGAAAATTATTTTAAAGATAATTCAACATAAAAACCCTGGTGCTTCTTACATTATAAAGTACGTTTTAAAAAACCCACAAACTATTATACATAAGTTTATGAATCAATTAAATATCCTGCACTTGTTAGGAACACGCATATCCCTTCTTTGTTGAGTTTAACGGAACGGGACAGCGGCGTGCGCCCGGCGGCGGGCTGCTCTGGCCGCGGGTCTCCCCGGGCGTCCCTTCCCTGGGGCCCAAGCGCCCCCTCCTCGCCCGATCCACGGTCCGGGCCCGGGGGCGCGGCGGCGGGTCCCCAGCCCCTCCCCCGCAGAGGTCAATGCCAACGAACAAAGGTCCCCTCCCTCCCTCAGAGGTCCCCAAAGCGTCCTTTTTGAGCCAGACGCCAACTTGACCCTCACCAGCATTATCAGGAGCGCGCTCGGCAAGTTGGTAGTTTCTTCCCCACCCCACCCTACCCCTTCCCCGGCGCCCGCGACTCGACATCACTCCTTCCACCCCCGCCCCCCACCACCGTCACCCTCCGGGGAGCACGGGGAAGGCTCGACGCTCCAGGATAGGACCAGCCAAGCTGACAGGTCGATTCGCCCAGGCCCGCGCACGCACGCACGCACGCACACGGCCCCGCACACAGCCCCATCCTACCCACCCTGCAACCAACCCCCGTCGACTGCCTTACACACCCGCCCCCGCGCTGGCCGGCCGACCTAGTGCCTTGTTCTCACCCCCGTGCTGGCGGAGCGGACGCCGCGCTCTGGGTCCCAGAGGGGCCGGGTGGCTCAGACGACCCACCACCTCCCCACCCCGACCGTGCTGAACGGACCCTCCCCCACACACGAGAGAAAAATAAAGGAGCAATAAAGTCACGAGAATTTTCGTCCCCCAATCGAGAGCCCGAGGGGCACCCCAGCCCCGCCTCTGCTCCCCCCACCCACCCTTGGGGCGCCCCCCCGTCCCCCCGCCAGCCAGCCTGGGCCAGCCCCGCTTCGGCCCGGGAGATCCGTGCGCCCGACCAGCACCAGCATCGCGGACCGCAAAGGCCGCCCGTCCCGTCAAACAAGTTTCTTCTTAGGCTAAGAAACGCAGTATATACGAGTATCTCTATATATAGTACTAATGGATTTGGTGTGCTTCCCCCTTAGCGTCCCCGTCCCTCCGCTCCTCTTCCTTCAGCCTGGTCTCCCCCTCTCTCTGCCCTCCACCCCCGTCTCTGCACTGAGATACATAAGAAACAAGGGTAGTTTACTGTCTGTTTTGTTTTCTGGGTTTTCAGTGTCCTAGCGGAATGCAAGTAGGCAGCCAGCCCGTACGTTCCCTCTCCGCCCCGCCCCCCCACCCCGCCCCCGTCACTGCGCTTCTGTTATACCATCTTTGCCTGACTCTCTCCGGCTTCTCCATTGAATGGCTAATGTGTATGTGAAATAAAGAAATAAAGAAAAACAAAAGCAAGAGCGCCCGAGCCTTCGCTAACGCAATTGTGCGGGACAGGTTCGGGGTCGGTGGGATGCGGTCGCCGCGTGAATTCCGCGCCTCACAGCCTCGAGCCAGGGCGGCCACAGGCACCGTCGAGGAGTGCGGATCTCTCAGTCTCCGGGAGGGGGCGCCAGTGAGAAAGCAGCGTGTTCTCGGGCCCCTTCTCAACTCTCGGTGACCCCCAGCTCGGAAAAATTAGGCCCCCTTTGGGTCCAATGGCCGCTCAGATATGTTGGTTCCCGGACCTCACCCCGCGGAAGGGGTACGCGGACAAGGCCACTTTCAGCGGACCGTGGGCGATAAAAGGGTCTTCAAGCCCCTGGGGGCGACGACGGTCATCGTTGGGTCCGCGGGGGCCCTTTCCCCTGTAGGGGACTCCTCACTGGTCCTTCTTCGGGGGAATTCGGTCCAGATCAGGCCCTGCGAGCACGTTGTCCGCCCCTTCCTAGATGGCCCTGAGCTGACTTCCCAGTGCCCTTCGGCTCGGAGGCGACACCGTGGAGGTCATCGCACCTCTGGGCTCACAGCCGCCTGTTCTGTCTTGATGGGTCGGCCCGCCCCGCCGCGGCTGCTGTCGGGGCCGCTGGAAGGCGCGGGCTGGGGGCGCACCACTACTTCGGCCCTGCGACACGGCCCGCGACGGGCACCGCCGTCGTCCAGGCCTCGGTGCGCCGGCCGCTTACGGGGCCCTGGAGGGGCGGAGCCTGCGGCCAGAGCCGCCGCCTGGTCGCGCAGCAGCCTCACCAGGAAGCCAATGTATTTCATAGCCAGGCGGAGCACCTCGTTCTTGCTCAGCTTCCGGTCGGGCGGGTGCGTTGGCAGCAGCTTCCTGAGCTCAGCGAAAGCGCCGTTCACATTCTGCTGCCGCCAGCGCTCCCGACTGTTGGTGAACACACGCCGGGCCACCTTCTGGGGCTGATGCCCTGAGGACGGGAGTGGCAGGATTGGCGCCATGGCCCAAGAGAGGCAGGCACCCCCACCTACCCTTACTTGAGGCTCCCAACACCCTCTTGGGGGACTTCAACACTGGCAGTGGACTGAGGCTTTCTCCATCCAAGGGATTCACGTGTAGGATCCACGTGTAGCTCAGTTAGCAACCCCCGCACCCCCCACCCCCAAGCTTCCTGGTGGTGGTGGTGGTTTAGTCGCTCAGTCGTGTCCTACTCTTGCGACCCCACTGACTGTAGCCCGCCAGGCTCCTCTGTCCATAGGATTCTCCAGGCAAGAATACTGGAGTGGATCGCCGTTTCCTTCTCCAGGGGATCTTCCCGACAGAGGGATCAAACCCGGGTTTCCTGCATTGCAGGCAGATTCTTTACCCACTGAGCTAGGAGGGAAGCCCCCAAGCTGCCTAGACAGGGCCTATTACAGGCCCAAGTTGCAGATAACCGAAGCCTCCTGTACTTCTGTCCACTCCTTTATGTCAGTGGCTGCAGTTCCCTAGGGAATGTGGCTGGGGAGCTGTCCTCGTGATTCTCATTCTGTGTGGTCCCCCTGTGTGGCTGCATGTGCTCCTGAGTCTAAGAGTTTCTTGCATCGTGACTGGTCCTGTTCTTTCTCAGGTGGCCGTGTGACCTCCTGTGTATCCACATGGCTGTGGTGTGTGCTCACCGCCATGTGGTTGTGGTTGTGTGGCTAATTCCTGTGTGGCCATGGGCCTCAGGGGCTGTGGTTGTGTGTCTGCCTCCTGTGTGGCTGTGGTCCTGTGGCTGTCTCTTGGAGTGGGTCTTGCCTGGTGGCTGTGCATGTGAGCAGAGCACCCATGCTGTGCTGTTTTGCCACGAATCGTTGTGGCTTGTTGGGTGACGGGGGCTGTGAAGAACTGGCCGTGGGTCTGTGGTTTTGCTACATGAGTGTAACCTGAGTACCGAGCCCCTGTGTGTGTCTGTGTGCAGTGGCATCACTTTTCCCAGTGTTTTCCCAGTGGAAGGTGGTAGGGCAGACGTGGGCCCCAGGAGAGACGGTTGGGCGGACATAAACCCATACTCACCCTCAGCCAGCTCCAGCTCACAGTGGCTTGGTCTCCGCTTTAGCCGGCTGCTAGGGAAGATGCTGAAAGGTCCTGCTGGCCCAATGTAGAGGCTGTAAGGGGTCGTGGGTCACTAATGCCTTGTGGGTAAGGACCCTGCCCCTGGATTCCCCCCAGGCCCCAGTCCCCCACTGACCTGTTGAGGAATGGGTGAGGGTGGTAATGCAGGGCCAGGGTGGGTGGGGCGGTTCCCAGGGTAGAGAGTTGCAGCAGTGGGGGACGGAGGGTGCTGAGTTCTGTGGTGGCCATGGCTGCCCCTGGGGGTCTGGTGTGGCCCAGGCTGATCACTGGCACACCAGGGGGCAGCCTGGGTGGTGAGGAGGAGCCTCCGTGGCCCACCTCCTCCACCTTTGGGGGTCCAGGCGAGGCAGGCTTTGGGGGCGGGGCAGGCACCAGGCTGGGAGCACACACCATCTTGGCCTTCTCGGTCATGGTGGGGCCCACCTCCGCCTGGGCCTCGGGCGGGCACATGGACCCCGAGGGGGTGCTCACCTGTGGGAGGAATGAAGCCAGTGGGGCGGGAGGCGGCAGATGCCACCCCCAACCCTTAGCCCAACAGAGCAAGCCCTCACCTGGAGGGAGACTGGGGTGGGGTGGGGTGGGTGGCAGTCCAACGGGCAAAGGCAGACAGGAAGTGGGCCCAGAAACTCCCAGGACACAGGAGGGGGTCTGGCACAAGGACAAGGGGGTGCCCACTGAGGTGCAGGGCACCAGTGAGCTCAGCAGTGATGCTTCTGAGCTGTCTGTGACCCATGAGGCCTTAGTTGTGGAGCCCTTGAGAAAATTTCCCTTCTTCCAAAACCCCCTCTGGCCTGGAGCCTGGAGGGAGGGGCAAGGCAGGGAACCCATGACAGACCCTTTCACCACAGGATGCCCCCGTAAGCCTCAGATCCAAGACCCTTCATTGACACCATGGACCTTGCAAACTCTCCATGGCTGACTGACCTTCACTTACCACTGGCCCCAGGCTGACCATGGGGCCCTCAGCTATGACCCTGAGGCTCTTCTCACTGTCTCCATGTCAGACCCTGAAAGTCCTCCATAATCCCTCCAGTGACCCCCTCCCCCCAAATCTCCCCCTTACAAACCCCATGACTCCACTGCTGACACTATGACTCTGGATGCTAACCCTACTCCCCAGCACACAGTCATGCACAAGTCCTCTCTCTGGCTCTGGCATCCTCCCACCCACATTACCCACAATCAGTAACCACCCCTTTGCACCCCGCTTCCACATCCCTGCTCACTCCTGGCCTCAGGGCCTGGCATGTCCCACCAACGTCAGGGATTGCTAGCCCCTCTGCCCTGTCTTCCCTAGCTAGACCCTGGGAAGCTGCTTGGCCTCTTACTTAGTGGGCCCACCAGATGAATGAATGCAGGTGGGTCTGGGATCCCCCCTTTTCGGGCCCACTCCACTCTTACCCCAACACTGCTGCGGCTGCCTGCAGATGGCCCTGACTCTGTCCTCCAGGGCTAGGATGCAGTTCCAGGTTCAGGCGAGACACCAGCCCCCTGCTGCAGCCTCTGTGCTCTGTGGCCCTGGTAGTCGGCCGCCCCTCTTCCTTGGCTCCCAAGGGCCACCGTGGCAGAAGCAGTGGCGGCAACAGGGCAGGTCCCTCCAGGGAAAGTGAGCAGCTCCAGGCCGCCCACCCTCTCCCCGCCTCTGGCGGCCGGGTTTCCTCCCTCTCACCCCTGGCGCAGAGGCTGGAGGATGCTGGGCCAGTGCAGATAAGGGCCTGGCTGCCTGGCCGCGCCTGATAAGGAGCCGGGCTGACCCCGGAGGAAACCCGGCGGGCGGGGATCCCCCGAGCGCGGGCCTCCCGGCCCCGCCTCCCGCCGGCACAGGCAGGACCGCCTGTCACCCTCAAGGCCTCACCTTCTGTCCCCCAGGCGCTGCAGATCCCTGCTCCAGCACACACCTTGGGAGTGAGGTGCCCGGTTGCATGCAGAGGGGAAACTGAGGCGGAAATGCAGCAGTCCCTATGTTACTTGGGTCTGTCCTCCAGCTTTGAATACCCCTTGTCCCGTGCTGATGGGGGTGGAGAGTCCTTTCCGGCCCTGCTGGGGCCTCGTGACCCAGGGGCCCCTTTCTCCTCCTCAGCCTGCCCGGTTCCTCTTTCTACAAGAGTGCCTCCTCGCTCTTCTGCCAACCCCACCCTGGAGTGGGACACTGACTGCAAGGCAGTGTTGACAGCCTGGCCCTGGGTCCCTGGTGCACCTTCCACACCGCCATGCCAGGTCCAGGAGGGTGAGAGAAAAATACCACAGCTGGGGGAGGTGCGGCCAGTGCCAATGGCTGAAACTTCCAATAGGTGCACCCACCAGGCCCCCACCATCCGGAGCCTCACCCCACAGGATCACATGGCCCTGGCTCAGACGTCCCCAGCCTTTCTCCCAGTGTGGGCCAGTTCAGGGTGGACAATGATAAAGAGGCATTGGGTCAATATCTTGGAATGGTGATAAAGCTCAAGGTCCTGCTGGAGCTCAGGCAGGGAGTGGAGCTGGGTACAACTAAAGCAGGGACGACCCTGCTCCCACCCCTGGCAGGCTCCCACCTGGGTCAGTCATGCTTTGCCCCGTGTGACTGCAGGAGTGCCCAGGCAGGCCCCTGCCAGTGCAGGAGACACAGGTTCAATCCCTGGTCAGGAAGATCCTCTGGAGAAGGAAACAGCAACCCACTCCAGCATTCTTGCCTGGGAAATCCCGTGGACAGAGGAGCCTGGCAGGCTGCAAGTCCATGGGGTGGCAGAGTCAGACTCGACTGAGTCACCGAGCATGCTCACACTCAGGAATCAAGTGAAACCCAGAACCCCACAAACAACCATCCTACTGTCCAGGGAAGCCAGAGTACAGTTTTGAATGTTTGAGTTAACTCTGGGAGGCCTACTAGATGGGCTCTGGAATTAGGTTTAGGTTCTTTGTACAGATATGTTATGATGCCAGTAAGGGGTGCCTGAATGGTCCCATAGCTACCACATGGCAGGGTGGGGATTCTGCCCCAGTCCTCTCGTTAATGCTGCCACCCTCCCCGGCTCTGGCGGGGAAAGGGTTGCCACAGGCTGCCGGGTGCCTCAGTGTGCAAACCCAAGGGGCCGCAGGGCAGGAAGCACCTGGTCTGGAGCGGATGCAGGAGGCGCCTGGTTCCGGTCCGGTTTCCGCCACTGGGGCCCTCAGGGGCAGCTGGGCCAGAGAAACCAGGCGGCGGGGAGGAGGAGACACTGGGGCGCGAGCCCATATGCGGGCGCAGTGCCTAGAGGACAGGTCTGAGTACTGGGGGCGCGCCCACGCTGGGAGGATGGGAAGAAGGGGAAGAGGGTAAAGGCCCCCGCGGGCGTGAGTGCACGGCTGCCGCCCCGTGGCCACCTTGGGAATCGCAGGCGCCAGCAACTCATTGGCTCAGGTACAGAAGCCACCTGCAGTGCAGGAGATGCGGGTTCCATCCCTGGGTCAGGAAGACCCCCTAGAGAAGGAAATGGCAACCCACTCCAGTATTCTTGCCTGGAGAATCCCATGGACAGAGGAGCCTGGTGGGCTACAGTCTGAGGGGTTGCAAAAGAGTTGGACCGGACTTATGGACTAAACAAACAAAAGCGCCTTACAGGCAACCGTTAACTGTCCACCTCCCTAATACAGACAGAAGACTCCAGTCAGAAACACTGACAGCACCGCATCAGGATGGACCAACACACCAGATGCACAGAGCTCACCAAGGGGGTTAAAGCAGACGGACAGAGGGACCTCCCTGTGGTCGGGAGGCTAAGGCTCCGCGCTCCCAGTGCAGGGGGCCCCAATGTGAGACCCCTGGCCAAGGAGCTAGATCTTGCATGCCGCAGCGAAAGACCCCATGTGCCGCAACTAAGACCCAGTGCAGCCAAATAAATAAAATAGTTAAACTAAATAAAATCAATAAAAAAGATGGGCAGAGAAACAGACTTTAGACAAGGAGCTAAAGAGATGAACAGAGCCCCTTAGGCAGATGGACAGAGAAACCACGGCAGCCTCCCCATTCAGACAAACGGCAGTCGGGGGAAAGTGAAAAGGTCTTTATTAGCTCACTCTATGCCTGGCCCAGTAGCAGCCCCAGGCTCAGCGGGGTTCTGACTGGGGGCCTCTGGACAGTCAGTGGGGGTGGCTTCAGCAGTGGCCTTGGGTGAGGGGGCACTATGTGAGTAGCGGCACTGGTCCCCCTGTTGACAGGTGCCCTGGTAGGAATACAATGGGTGTGAATGAACCCCGTTTCGGAGCTCAGCAGCCTCCACTGGGTTCCTTCCCTGGATAGGGAGCTCACTCCCACCCACTTGCCTGGTCCCAGCTCCCCCAGCCCTGCCGGCCCATTGGCCCAGTCCTGTGGCTGGGAGGAGAACCCATGGGTGCTTCAGCTGGGGGTGGGGGCACCTCACCTCCTTGAACCTCTTGCAGGGAAATGTCTTGAGCCAAGCAGCCCGCTCAGCTGGGTCCTCCACCAGCTCCTTTCGCTTATTTTGGAGCAGCCTACGTCTCTCTTCCACAGATTCTCCTGCTGCCTTGCCTCTGTGTAGGGAAATGAGGGGAGGCTCCATCGGCCTTTGTGCCCACTCCCCGCAGCTAAGCCCCACCTTCACTCACCCCACTCTCGCTCACCCTGGCCGAGCACGGGGCCGGGGACCCCAGTTGGCCTCAGGGTTGGCCTGGAAGCGCTTGAGTCCTCGCTGGCGGGAGCTGGGGTTGGCATCGTCCCGGATGGTGAAGTTGGCCTGCAGCCTAGGGAAATGGGAGTGGGGGCTGAAAGGCATCTGCCAGGCGGCTGGGCACATACCACCTAGGCTGCCTGCCCACCTCGGTGCAGCTCGCAGGCGTAGGGCTTCTATCATATATTTAATAAACATTTATCGAGTGCCTACAGTGGGCCTCAAATCTGCTGCCAGTAAAGCTGACATTCTAATGCCTAAGACAGATGAGCAAGGAGGCAAGTCAGAAATCAGACAACTGGGCTTCCTTGGTGCTCCAGCGGTTAAGACTTTGCCTACCAATGCAAGGGACACGGGTTCAATCCCCGGTCCGGGAAGACCCCACATGCTGTGAAGCAACTAAGCCCGTATGCTACAACTACTGATCCCACATGCTTCAACTGCTGAAGCCTGTGCGCCTAGAGCCGCAACAGGAAAGGCTACCACAATAAGCAGCCCGAGCACCACAACTAGGGAGTAGCCCCCACCCACTGTGCACAGCAATGAAGACCCCACACAGCCAAAAATAAAAAAGGAGGAAAGAAACTAGCAAATTATATCATGTGATGACATAAGATAAGGGTTCTGGGGGAAAGAGAGCAGGATAGAGCAATAGGGAGTTTGGGAAGGAGTGCCGTGAGAACAGGGCGGCAGGGACACAGGAAGAAAGTCTGGGAAGAGCCGTGGGGGGGCCTAAGGCCAGCACTCCAGGCAGAAGAGCCGTGCAGAGGCTGTGCCTGCCAAGTCTGAACGAGGAGGCCAGTG